GCTTCTCTGAGCGCTGGGAGCCTGGACCCCCTTCTAATGAGGAAGATGGGGGCACCCCAGCTCCTCCAACTGACTCACCTAAACTTGCACATCAGGGTCTCACAGGGTCAGCCTAAGAAGTGCTCCTTCTTTCATCTCTTGGGAGCCTCCGCCCCTGGCTGGGAACCCACTGCCTCCCCATCCTAGAGATCCTGCCTCCTGTGCCTCTGTCCCTCCACTGGCTCTTTCCCTTCTGCCCTGAGCTTGCTTATGTCTTCCTGACCTTCTTTCTGCTCTGGGACCCCTTTTGTTTCTATTCTGCTATGTCCCCCTTGTCACAGGCAAACTTACTGAAAAAGCAGACACACACAGCTGCTAGCTCCACTTCTCGACCTCCTGCTCCATCGTTCAGTGAACTCTGCCGCTGGCACCTTCCTACTGCCCCATAGAAGTCTGAATGTTAACAGGGCATCTTGTCTATCCCACCTCAGTGTGTGTAGACCTTTGATCAATTTCAATGACTACATAGTAATCATTGGTATGGGAATATCATCATTCATTTGATAATTACATTATAGATAAATATTTAGGTTCTCACTATGAGCAGCCTTAGATTTGAGTCTTTGGGAACTTGTATGAATATTTAGCAGCTGAAGTATAATTTTGCTAGTAATATTTATGTTGTGTGTAACTTTAATAAATACTACTAGATTGTTTCTTAAAAACACCATGCCAATTTGGTCCCCTGTTACCCCGTAGATCTATGACCATTGTTCAATCAGATAACTGATTTAATTTGTGTGTTCTAGAGTTGCTGGTGAGCTTAAGTCTGCTTCCCTATAGATATTTGTATTTTTCTTTTGGAAATTATTTATTCCTATCTGTTTCCCTTTTGCATTAGATTGTCACTTTTGTCACTGGTTTGCAGGAGCATATAACATAATGTGAGAGGATTGCGTTTTGAATATTTATGCTAAAGGGTTTCCTCTCAACCTGCTGTACACATTGCTTATTGTTGCTGACAGGGATGGAACCCAGGGTCTTGCATGTACCAGGCAAATGTTCTACCACTGTGCTACGCCCCCAGCTTTAGGTGCATGTTTTAAAACAGTGATGGCGAGCATGTTTAGATTTTCAGTGACACCAGCAGCCCACCCTGGCACGTGTGCCCTAGGCTCATCACCACTGCTTTAAAACTCCATCGGATGAGTGGCTGCTTGCCTTTTCTGTTTCCCACTGACCCATTCTCTTCTTATTTCCCTCTAATTTCTCTTGGCTTCACCTCTTGCTCCTCAGTCTCTTCCTGGGTCTTCCCTCACTGGGTGACTCCTGCATGCATGGCACCAGCTTGCACCCTGCACTGGAGTGTTTCTCGTACCTATTGTTCCCAAGCAGCTTCGCTGCCAAGCTCCAAACTCTGAGGTGCAATGGCCTCCTGCAAACTCCCCATGTCCCACAGATGCTGTGAATTCAGCACACAGGAAACAGATTGCATCGTTCTTCCTGGTATATGGACATTTCTTCCTAAGCCTCTTCTCATCTGCTGCTCTGCCCAAACCGGAGACCTGCAGACCCCTCACCTCACACCTGCCTTGGTTTTCTTCTCCTTAATCTCGCTCTGGACTTGTCATCTTCCCTGACCAGGTTGGGCAACACTTCATCCTCTGTCACATAAACTACAACAATCATGCAATATTTGCAGGTTCCGGATTTGAGCTGGCTGATTCACTTACTAGTTGTGAATCCTCACTAGTTGTGGACAAGTGATTTAATCTCACTGGATCTCAGTTTCATCATCTGTAAAACGGGCACATTGGGAGCACCCCTTGCTGAGGGCCGTTATAGGGGTTAAATGCATGACTCTGTCTTTATAGAACACAAGGACAATGATTCATATTGTTAGCTGCTGCTGCTGTTTCTGCTGGTTCTACTTTCTCTCCCTTACTCCTTCTCTCCTTCCTCTCCTAGATGCTCTCTGCCTCAAGTCTTTCCTTCTTATATTCACTTTCTACTTTGCTGCCAAGCAAGTTTCCTAAAACATGAGTTTGATCACTTTCTTTTCCTCCTAAAACCCTGCAAGGACCTCTGCAGCCCTCAGATAAAGTGGTGACCCCTGACCTGAACACTTAGTACCTTTGCTGATGATCCCCAACTTCTGTGCCACACCCTGGAGCCCTTAATCCAGCTTCTGGGAGTCATTTTCAGGTCCTGCAGAGTGTTCCGGCTTCCGTGGGGTTTGGCGCCAGGGCCCACTTGCCTTGGAACGCTCTCCACCTCCTGGTCTGCCAGGTCTTTGTCCTTCCACATTCAGCCTGGGTTTTTAAGTTATCCATCTGTTTGGCTGTTTCCTCCTCCACATCTTGAAAGCTAGGACTTTATGTGTGTATTCTCTGGGTCCCAAACCATTTACAGTCTTACGCACATCACTGGTGCTTAATACATTTTTGTCGAGCATTGAATGACTTGACAAAGTTTGGTGAAACTGTGTGCAAGGGTATCCTGTTGGCATCTGATTTAAACAAGTGAAGAAGGCTGCTGAGGTCTTGTGCTTTCCTGCTTCGCTGGCTGCCTCCTGCTTTGTTGCTGTTTTTCCTCTGCCAGGCCATCCGACCTTGGAGCCAGCCAGCTATGGACTGAACCCCTACAAACATTAAGCTGAAATAAATCTTTCTTCCTTTGAGTGTTGGGTATTTTGTCTCAGCAATGAGAAAGAGTAATGAATTCTCTCTCTCTCTCTCTCTTTCTCGTTCCTTCCTTCCTGATTGAGCCTAGGGCAAGCTCTTCACTACTGAACTACACCCTAGCTTTTCATCTTTTTATTTCACTTAAGACAGGGTACTGCTATGTTGCCCAAGCTAGCCTTGAACTTGTGACCTTCTTGTCACTGCTAGGTTATGGAGTGGTCTGTGGTGACCGCTGTGAAATTTTCTGCTCCAGGGTCCTCAAAACCTGACACAGTTTTCTGGTGCTTTTAAGAGCTGTTTTGGTCTCCACTGGCCTTGGTGGGAGCTTTTTTGGGAGCAGAGTTGAGACTGAGGCTGGTACTAGGTGTTGTCCTTCTTTTCTCCAAACCGGAGCAGGAGAAGTGTGTGTAGGTGGTCAGCTCCTCCTGGCCCTCCATTCTCTTCTGCCGAGTTCTTGTCCAGAAGCATCTTCTATGAAAACAGTTTCTGCCAGCTGTTCCCAGCCCCGTGCACTCATCAGAAAGATCTGAACTCCCTGCTGGAATTGCTGCCATTCTGACTTTTTCCTGCTATGATAAGAACCCTGCTCCCAGTAAAAGTATGTGCCCCAGGCTGATCTCAGAAGGCACTGTTGCCCTTTTGGGGTGACTCTATTAACTTGATTGCTCAGGAGCTCCCCTAGCTCCTTCTTACTACCTTCTTATTATGTTTACTAAGCTGTGTTCACCAGTTCTCCAGGGTAGTTGCAAAATTTTTGCTCCACGCAAAGGTAAACACATGCAATCTGCACAACCCTGACCCCAAGAGGCCATCCATGGGCCCTGGTCAGAGCCACAGGATTGCCCAACTGCTGCAGGGACCCTGGTACCATGTATAAGACAGGGCCGATGGGAGCAAATGCCTGTGGGAACACACAGTGTGCTCTGGAGCCTGGGCAGAGCAGCTGTGTGACTTGTCATAGAGAAGGGCCCCACACTTCTTCTAAATCAGGTTTCTCAGAAGCACCACAAGTAGGTGCCCACTGGGTGACAAGCCATTTGCGTAAGCCTTCCTGGTTAGAGCAGGGGAAGTGATCTTACGCTGTGGTCAGTTTGTCCACTGTCTTTATCAGAGTCTGATTGAACATGGTACACCTACTCTCAGCCAGACACTCACAGTTTGGGACCACCAAATCATACAATGATCAGACAGGAAGGACAGAGAGCCCCATGCCTCCTCTCCTGGCCACTAATATATTTCTAGACACCCTAAAGCCACTGAGACTTTCATCTGTTGCTAAGGAGAGGGTATAGTGCACAATCTTTGGGAAATATAGCTGGTCCTTTTCTATCTTGGTTTCTGCTTCCAGAAATCCAATCAAAGAAGGTCTAAAATACTTTTAAAAAACATGAAGAAATTTTCCTTACTGTTATTATTTCCTAAACAATATAGTATAGTAACTATTGACATTGTATCTTCACTGTTGATTTATAATTAACTGAAAGCTGATTTAAAGCATAAGGGAGGGTTTTGTGTAGACTACATGCAAATACTATGCTCTTTTATATCAGGTACATTAGCATCCTTGGATTCTTGTATCTACAGGGAGTCTTGAAGTCAATTCTGTAAGATACTGAGAGACGGTAGTTTGGCAGTTTTTAAAAATATTAAACATCCTCCTATTACGTATGTCAGGTCTCTAACTAGACCCCTGTCCAACTAGGAGAGAAAAAACTCCAAACAGATCTATTATTTGCACCTAATGGGGCATGGTGTTCAACAGGAAGCTGGCAGCTGTCTCCACACAGCTCAGCCTGCAAAGAGCTGGTTCATGAGACATGCTGTGCCTGTCAGCACCCCCTGTACCCAACCCTATCACCTGCCCTTAGACCCCCTACTCAGCGACCCAAAATGTTGCAGCCCCTCAGCAATACCTCCTCCCCTACCTCAACTTCCCTATAAAAACTCGCCCTTCCTCAGTGTCACTGGTCTTTCAGCCCTTCGCCCCACCTCACCTGGCTGGCACACATGTTGCTTCAACTTTGTCTGCCTCAGTGGTCTCAATTGCACCTTGGTTTAGCCTAACAGTGTGACCCAGCCATATGTAGGTATTTGCCCCAGAAAAATGTAAGGACGTGTCTACACGAAGACTTGTGTAGAGACACTCAGAGGAACCCTGTTTGTAATAGTCCTAACCTGGAAGCCACACAAATGTGAAGTGACAGCTGGACGTACAAACAATGTGGCATATCCATACAGCAGGGTACTTACTACTCAACAACAGAAAAGAGCTACCGATAAGTGCAACAACGGGGTGAATCTCAAAATAATACTGAGCGAGGAAAGGCAGGCAGTAAAGAGTTTCTACTGTACGATTTTATTTCTGTGCAATTCCAGAAAGTGCACATTTGTCTATGGTGACAGGAAGCAGGGTCAGTGGTGGCCTGGACATGGAGCGAGGAAGATTCCAAAAGGGACAAGGAGCCCTTGGGCTGAGGGATGGGCATGAATCTAACTGAGGGCTTCACAGTATTAAGTCAGAACTCAGCAAATTTATGTAACGTTTACTGTATGTCAATAGCACCGCAGTAAGCCAACTGAGAGGGAAGCAGAGCAAAACTAAACAAAACCAATAAAATACAGATCGGGAAATAAGGATTCCGTGGGCCGCGACTGAAGGCCTGCGCATGTGCAGGCTGTGCCGTTGTGGCGGCTGTGCAGCGGGCACGCAGCTGGGTGAGAAGGGAGAGTGGAGGAGCCGCACAGCCCGGGCAGTTCACGGTCGTGCATTTACTAAGCTTGAGGAATTTTACAGAGCGGCTGAGGCCCGCAGCCCTCATATTAGAGAGCGCAGCTGACACCCTGCTCTTCCACCGGTGGGAGGCCCGGGCCAGTCGTGGTCAGGTGACCTGGGCTTCTCCCTGGGCACAGTACGGGCAGCAGCACTCTCTCTTCTTGTAATCTGCAGAGCAGGAATGGCAAACCAGGCCTCCGCAGCGCCTAGAGGGCAGAGGCAGGGAAGCCTGGTGCTTTCTGCAGCTCACTGGAAGGTGCCTACATAAGTGCTGGGAGTCATGCGTTTCAGCATCTTTGAGTCCACCCGTCATTTCTATCGTCTAGCAGGCTGGACCTTGGCCTGTCCCCTTTCCTGATGCCCTTGGCCTCTGAGAACCTCTTTTCCGAATGGTGGGTCCTCCAGATGGCCGGTTTCTTCTTGCGGCTCATCCTGCCACCATGACCGCCATGGAAGGTGAGGACAGCAGCCCTCTTTGTGTTTCCCTAACAAGAGCTCAGCTGTCTGTTCTTGGAAAGTTCACGACCCCAGCTCCCAGACCCCAGCCTTCTCTGCCTCTTCCCACCATCTAGTTCATCAGCCTCCTTCATGTCGAAAGCCAGACATCAAGCCAGAGTGGCCGGGCTTAAATAGCTTTTTACAAAAGCCCATTTCCCTGTCCTTCTTTCTCTGGGGCAGGCAGGCAGCTGTGGGAGGACCTCCCCTTACCTGCACGGGTACCTCCGGGACAGTCTGCCGAAGACCTTGCTACAGCCCAGGCAGCAGCGAGGGACCAAGTCTGAGAGCTGCTGGAGCCTCTGCCACTGGCGGTCCTTTTCCCTGGGGATGGGCGGAAGTGGACACGCACAGAGGCCAGGAGGGGAGCAGGAAGATAGATGAGGAATTCGTGGCAGAGGAAGACATGGAGAGGGTGACAGAGAGAGGCACTCAGAGAGACCAAGTGAGAAGACATCAGGACAGAGGAGCAGCAGGACAGACACACAAAAACGGAGAAGGAACAGAGGAGAGAGAGAGAGAATGGAATGGGGAGGTGAAGAGGGAGACAGAGGCACACAGGGAAGCAGACAGAGACACAGATGAGAAGGAGGGAAAGAAAATGACATGTAGAGATGGAGGGACAGAGATACAGTCCGGGAGAGAAACAGAGACAGACCAGAGACATACAGAGGTACAGCAGGGAGAAAGACAGAAGCCAAGGGCGACACACCAACAGAGACAGCCGTCAGCCTTTGGGAACGGGCATGACGGCCAGCTCCCGGGGCCCACACTTCTGATCGCTGTTAAGAACCTGCCCTCGCCCTCTAAAGCACCTCCCTTGTCTTCTTAGAAGCCTCGGGTTCTCCTCTGGAGGCCAATAACACAGTCTGCTTGTTACCTTTTATTTAGCACTTAGACTGCCTTGTACTTCTTTGTTTACGCCCTTGCAAGACTATCATCACGTTTTTAAAAGGGCATTTAGGAATATAAGATGTTTTAAATTTTTGTCAAAATAAAACACCCACATAATTTAAAACTCAGAGCTGCTGGGAGTGGTGATGTAATCCCAGCCCTCAGGAGGCTGAGGCAGGAGGATCGCTGAGAGTTTGAGGCCAGCCTATGCTACAAAGTGAATTCAGGCCAGCCTGAACTACATTTCTATCTTTTTGGTTTTTCGCTTTTCTCTTTGGTATTAGTTTCGTATTTAATTAATATGCTTATATCCCTGCCTCAGTAGAGAACATTTTCTTTTCTTTTTTTTTTTGTCTTTTTCGTTTTTATTGGTACCAGGGATCGAACTCACGACCACCTGCTTGCAAGGCAGGCGCTTATGCCGCTGAGTTAAATCCCCAGCCCCGAGAACATTTTCTATGGAGCTCCTTCCTTAGGTAGCAGAGGATTCATTGGACATTTTGTTATTTTTTAATCTTCTTCAACTTTTCTTTCTTTCCAGTTCAGGGGTAACAACTTTTTTTTTTTTTTTTTTGAGACAGAATCTCACTATGCACTTCAGGCTGGCCTTGAGCTCACTTTGTAGGGTAGGCTGGTCTCAAACTCAATGATCTCCTGCCCCAGCCTCTCCAGTGCTGGGATTACAGGCATGCCCCATCGCACCTGGCTGTGACTCCTATTCCGTAACACCGTGTTGCCAGTATCCCTTCAGCTCTCCTCCTTCCTCCTCTTCCTAACTTGCCATCCATCCCCCGAGCATCCAGTAGGCGGCTGCTTGCCACATGCATCTATTCTGATATAAAGCAACTAAAATTAAATAACAATGAAAACGTCAGTTCCTCAGTTGCAACAGCTTAGTGTTTCAAGGGCTCAATCTGTGCACAGAAGTACAGCACACATATGGATCACTTCCATCTCCACGGAGTATTAATTGGCACCTACTCCGGGTACTTCTGGATTGTTCAGGTGGTAACATTCATAGTCTGCGTCTATAATTACCATTGCCTCCCTGTTTCTCTTTAGGTTGATTGTTACATTGAAAAAAAATGAAGGTTGAGGGTGGTAGAATGCTGCCAGCATTGAGGCCCTGGGATTGATCCCCAGCACCACACACACATGACTCATGCACTCACGCACGCGCACGCACACACACAAAATCCAAATAGGTGTACTATATATACAAGTATTCCCAAAGAGCTAAGCCGAGTTCTATAATAGTTCCATTCTTGAAAGGCTTCTGTTTTTCCTGGAGTTTCTAATATTACTTGCTCCTAAGGTAGATACAGTTTGTCTCCAAATTCTTCATCGTGTCAAGTATTCTCTTGATTCTCCTTTTCTCCAGAGATTTTCTTCTTCCTGAGCTCTTGACTCCTCTTTTACCGTCTGGACTGACTGCTCCTGGGCTGGCTGCCCACTTATCATCTTGGGAATTCCCTTTTATTCCCTCCTAGGTAGAGCTATTCTTTCCTGAATTCCGTATCTTCTTTCTTGGCTTACTTCCTTATTTTTCTGGGGCATATCCTCAAATAACTTCCTAAGAAAGGCTGTGTGGGAGGTCAGATTTCTGAGATCTGCCTGTCTGATAGTTTGATATTAAATGGTTTGAGAATATTTTCTTTATCTCTGTTTCACTGAAATCCCAGTGTTACGTACAGGTGAGCTATTGTTTGTTTTGTTTTTCATTTATCGAGCCAATCACTTTGCATAATATTGAAATTTGAAATCTGTGTCCATCAGGACCGGAAAGTCTTTTGTATTTTTATCTTTGTCATATTTTATTTGATCATGTCCATTGCTTTATTTTGTCCTTTTGGGGGAACTTCTGTCAATGGTGGGGGGGGGATACTGGAACTCCTACACTGATTATGTTTCTGTTTCTCTCATGACTTTCATCTTCGTGCTTTTTTTTTTCTTTCTTTCTTTTGTACTGGGGATCAAATTCATGACCTCATGCTTGCCAGGCAGGTGCTTATGCCACTGAGCTAAATCCCTGGCCCCCATCTTCGTGCTTTTTATTCTGCTTTCTGAGAACCTCCCTCATCTTCCTGTTCCAATACTTAGTGAATGTCTTAAAAATTCAGCACACATTTTTAATTTCCAAGAACACTTCTCATTTTTGACAGCTGCTTTCCAGCTTCCTGTTCCACAGGAGATACATGTTCATTGTTCCTGTTGGTCCGTTTATATTCATCTGCCCCCTTTCTGGTCTAGGCTCTCGGATGTCTGGGGATCTTGGTTGCTATCTTGTGTTTGAGAAACAGGACATATAAGCTGGTTGGAGCACCAAGTAATGCTCAGGGATATCAATAAGTGGTTTCCCTTTTGAGATCACTCGGCAGGGAGCTACCTGGCACATCAGACCCCACCCCCACCCCACCACTTCCTTGGCACAAGCTGGTCTACTTGGGACATATACATTTCTTTAGAGAGGAACTTTGGACTGTTTTCTTGGGAGCCAGGCTCTTGCTGCTGGATATTCTGCAGGGGGAGAGGCATAAGGCAGGGGGTATAGACCCGGCTTTATCCGGCATCTTCCTGCACCATGTGTGTCTGGGCTCTCTGAGTCATGAAGGTCTAACTAGGGTTTTATACAGTATCCACAGCACCTGGAAATTAACTGAAGTTTCTCCTCTGTGGTTGGTTTCTCCACCTTCCTCCCTGTTGTAGGTTTTATTCTTTTACAACCATTTAGTGAGATCTCAGGATGGAGAATGGATGAGGTGTGTTCAGCCCACACACAACACCAGGGATTAAACGAAGGGCTACTCTGAGATACATCCCTAAACCTTTTATTTTTTATTTATTTTGAGATTTTGTCTCTAAATTGCTGAGTTGGCTAGGCTGAGTTCAAACTTGTGATCCTACTGCCTCAATCTTCCAGAGCACTGAGATCACAGGCTTTTCTTAGTCCATTTTGACACAAGTTGACAGGAGCTTTGTGGCTCTCTCCTTGTTTCCTTTGGCTAAGGGTCATAGTTTCCATTAAGTTTCTGTTAGGAATGTTATATTTTATAACCTTGAGTTCCTTGCCTGTGGTCTTGTGATTAATTTCTGTAGTTCCAGGAAAAAAAACCATATTTCCCCTGATGAGCTATTATATTCCTTTGAGTGGTAGGGGGTTTGGAGTAGTTCTCTATCTTCCTTTTTTAATCTTGCTGACAACATGTTTGGAGTTGAGTTTTAACACTAATCCTATTCTTAACACTTTGGGAGTAATATAAACTTTTGTCTTCCATTACATTTTCCAACTACCCTATTTCTTCATAATGATCACATGTGTGCCTTTTATTGTGAATTATCTTAAATTTTTTGTGACCTAATTAACTTTTTATACCATCCTTTCCTCTTGCTCAGTGGACAGTTAATTCCTTAGAGGATCTTGGTCTTTAAATTCCTTGTGTATCCTTTCCAAATTGACCTGCCTTTTTCTCATCTTTAATATTTGGATCTGGTGGACGAGGAGTTTATTCTGGATGATCTCCTGTCAACCTTCCAATCTTAATGGAGCCTGAGTCCAGTGGGCTCCTGTTTCCTCAACTACATAAAAGAATACAATATGTGAATTATTTCCATATCAAACCTACCTCAGTAGGAAATACCTTCTATAGGTAGAAGCTATATCCATCTCTCAGAGAATCTAGTGGCTTGGATTTGACCCTGATGAGCCTGGCCTCTGGGACTCAAGACAGCTCAGTTAGGGCAGCTCTGTCTCCTCTCTAATCTTAGTAAGAGTGTATGTGTGTGTGTGTACGTGGAGGTGGCTTGGCATGAGGAGATACGTTATTTATATGCTGTGTGTCCTTGGTGACCAAGTCACCTCTTGACCCTCAGTTTTCTCATCTCTAAAATGGGGATAACAGCAAGGAGTGGCTAAAAGGAGTGAGTTAGCATCCATGAAAGGTCTAGAACCCGGTTTGAAAGTTGTTGTTGGGAGTCAAATTTTCATGCCGGCCCTTTGCCTTGCTCACCATTTGCAGCACCCCATCCCTGTCCTTACTGAATCAGTTCCAGCATCCTTCTCTTCATGGCCTGGATCAGGTCCCGATGCCCTCCACGCTCTTCCTCATACATGGCTTCCCTCCTGTCGGCCTCCTGTTGCTTCTGCCTCAGCTCTGCCTGCAGCTGGGCTCTCACTTCCTCACACCTGGCAGAAGGGAGACAGTTCTGAGGGGGAAAAGCTGAGCATTTGGGTCTCTAGAGCCCCTGGGGAGAAGGCAGTGGCACCTCCTGTACCTGAAGTCCACACACACACACACACACACACACACATCCCAAAGGGGTACCGTGTGCCATCTCACACCTAAAGGCGATTCTTCAGTAACCAATCAGAGCAATGAAAATAGGACCTTGCCCAGAGTGCTCCTACAGAGGGGACTAACCAACATCTCTGCTTCCTTTCTTTTTAATTAACTTTTCCATTTTTAAAGTGTAATTTTCTTGAAAGGTATATTCATAGTCATGGCAGCTCTCTAAGGGGAGGTGGCTGCCTGGGAACCTGGGCGGAGGAGATTGTGCCCAGCTGGAAGCAGCCCAGTCATGTGCAGAGGGGAACCAGTGTAGGATTGGATGTGATTTTTTTTGGTTTAAAATAGTTTTAAGTTATGTTGTAGGAAAAAAAAAAAAGTAATGGCAGTAATATGGCCTTCTCGAATTTCTATTTCAGTTTTGGGCCTGGAATTTCCTTGGCTCTTACTCTTGCTATTTGGGGGTGTGTGTGGGTTCTTTAGTGGTTTTCTAGAAGTCTACAGAGTCGGAAATGAAAAGAGTCCCAGCCCAAGGTCCCCGCCTCTGACCCAATGCCTTTATTGAGAGGGTGCCCGGATGTGAGTGGACGCTGGGGAGGTTCTCACACCCTCAGGGCGCATGCGCCTCTGGCTGTGGGCGCGCATGCGCATGGGCTTGCCCTGCGCTTCAGTGTTGAAAGGAAAACTGTAGGAGACTTAACGATGACAGAAGTATTGATTTTAAAGCTATTGCCAGTTAGTGAGGTGCAGGAAAGAAAGTTGGGTGGGCCATGAAATCAAATGGATGATAGATAGCACTAAAGTTCCAATAAGTTGCCACTCGAGCCTTCAGAGTATTCTGGTGCTTAATGTCCAGCCCTTTCGTTACCTAGCTGCTGACAGTGATGGTCCTGAGCCAGTTTACTTGCTCAGTGATCCCGGGTCTTCATGTCAACACTGTGCCTGTCTCTGGGGTGGCAGGGAGTATGTATCAGGTGCCTACCGTGTGCCAGTGACTGTTTTAGGTGCCAGCAAGGGAGCAGTGCCTGCAGTGCCGTGGAAGTGACCGCTTTTGGTGACTCAGTCAAAACAAGTGAGTGAGCAATAAAATAATTACACTAAGTGTTGTGACAGAGATCAATGCATCTCACACAGGGAAGGCTTCTCGGACAAGGGAACATCGAAGCAGACCTGCAAGGTGAAAAGTCAGCGTTTGGGAGCCAGAAGCAGGTACAGGTAAGGGTCTCCTGTTTAGGAGCGCTAGGTCTGTTTGAGAAACTGAGGCCGGGATGCCGCAAAGGACTGTGGGTAGCGGGAGGGCGGGAGAGGAGGGGCAGGTCAGCAGCCTCCGTGGCCCCAGGAGTTATGAATTTTAATCTCATCACTGACATGTTTAATGCAGGGAGTGACGGATACCCCTAGTACAGGGGACGACAGTGGGAGTTTTTTGTGCATCTATAAAGGGCCAGGTACCAAGCCATGTATTTCATTTTCACAATGTGGTGAGATGGGTAGTTAGGACCCTCACTTTACAAGGCAAAGTAGAGCTTTGGAAAGGAACTGACCCTTGCCCAGGGTCACATGGCTTGAGATGTGGAGGCTGTAGAAGTCTGAACGTAGGCCTCCCCACATTTGCACGCGGGGTGCTGGGGCCTGCTGATTCCTGGCAAAGAACTTGGTGTGGCCTTCCAGGGGCTGAGGGAGATGTGGTGTCAACCTAGTCCCCTTTCCCGAGGACCCCTATAGCTTACACTTGTCCCGATCGATTCTGAGGTCTTACTGAGAGGGCAGAGGAAAGCCACCTGCTTGGAGAGATGGTTCCTGGAAGCCCTGAGCCAGAAGGAGAAATCTTAGCAATTCCATCTCCTCGAACAGGTCAGGCACCTGCAGCCCAGCATGGGAGCTGCTGTCCCTCTGACCCACAGTCCAGAAACCTCACAATGAGTATCAGAATCCACAGATCTCAGAGCTGAGCTGCTCTCACAGCCGATGGTCTGCCCTGGGCCTGCTGCCTGGGCTCCCACTGCCCCAGATTCTGTTTCTACCTCTGCACATGGGAGCTTCTGCTCTACCTACCTCAAGTCTATCCTATTAGTGCACTTGCACCCACCCACTTATAGCCGTGGAGGCTCAATAAGCACAGATGGCTCAGTGAACCAGCCCTGAGGCCCTTCTGTTGGCACCTTCTGTGGTGACACTCCTGTCACCAGCCTGATGCCCATGGCCCTTTACTCAGCAATGAGTTCTGTCTTTGGCTCTGCAGACCCAGGGACAGGGAAGTGTATGGTATCCCAGGCTCTAATGTCACCCAGCTGGCGCTTCCCTCTGGTAACCACACTCAACTTGCCCAGTGGTCAACAGGACCTGACAGATATCCCAAATGCCATCCTTTCAAAGCTAGGCTTCCCATATCCCTGCCTACCACAGCCTCTCCTGCCTCGGTTAATGGCAATTCTAGCTTTCTGCTGATCAGTGGAGAGACTCAGGGTCCCTCCTGCTTTTGTTCTCAACCTTTGCATCCCAGCCTCAGAAAACTTTGCTGCAGAGTGTATCCAGAGCTGGCCGCTGCTCTGGCCCCATCACTGACAGCCTAGGCCGAGTGCCTTTGCTGTCCCCTGCCAGGTAGAGGCAGTGTCCTGATGGTCTGCATGTGCCCAGCCTCATCTGCCTACTTTCTAGCTCATGGGTCTCTCTTTTTTCTTTTTTTTTGTACTGGGGATTGAATTCATGACCTTGTGCTTGCCAGGCAAGCACTTATGCTATTTAGCTAAATCCCTGACCCTAGCTCATGGGTCTTTAGGACGTGTGTCACTCTAGGAAGATCTGAAGGTACAAAATAGAATGGGGGAGATGGTCACAGCTGCAGCGTTTCTTTTGGAGGTGACAAAATATTCCAAAATTGATTGCATTGATATTGTACAACTCTGCAAACATACTGAAAACCATTGCATTGTTAAAAATTTTGCAAAAACATATAAACTTTTTTTATATTTTAAAAAAAGCCACACCACCTGTCTCCACTGCTTAGAATGCTAGATGCCTCCTGCCCTACTATGAGTCAAAGCCAAGGTCATTCTGAGGACGTTCTGGACTCTTCTGAGTCCCCACTGCCTGACAACCTTTTCCTCCATCCTTCCCCTTCTTTACTCATCCTGGGGCCCGTGGTGCCTCTTTAACGTCCCTAGAATCACCTTGTTGTCCCTTGTCACCTCAGGGCTGTTGTTCTTGCTGTTCCCTCTCCTCGCAGCACCCCTCTACCTCTACCCTAGATCCAAACAGCTCACTCCTCATTTCCTACAGGTCTTTGTCAAACAGCACCTTTACATAGAGCCCTTTCCTGGCCAGGCCATCTTATTCCAGATATCACCACTGCCACATCTCATTTTCATGCCTTGCTTCTTCGTTTACCCTGAGAATGTATCCCCATCCGACATTCTGCGTGTAGTTCACTTGTTTGCCATGTTTCCCTCCTGTCTTCCTCACGGCATGTCAGCTCGAGAGGGCAGGAATTCTGCATGTTGTCCACAGCAGCGTTGTGGCCTGACTCAGAGTCATGTCATGTTCAGGGTGTTTGTAGAAGGAATTTGTGGCGGTGCTCTGTGAGATAGGGCCCCTGGCCACAAGGGAGCAGCTTAGGTCTGGGAAGTCCCCAGGAACCTCCTGGTTGCTTCATTCAGCCTTCTGTGAGCCTACAGAAGACTCTGGGATGACCAAGGCCCTGCTATTTATTTGGGGCCTGAATCATGGGAATATTTTGGAGCTGGGCTTTGGCTTTCTGGGCTCCTGGGCAAGTCTCAGAGCTGTTAGGCAGACAGTTAGTTGATTTCCTAGTGACTCAGGGTGAATCACTGCAACTGAGCCTGTGCTGGGTGTTGGAATGGTGCCCCTGCCCCTGTCAGCCACATGGAGAGATGGAAGCAGGCGGGTAGACTGAGGCACACAGATACTGAAAGAGAGAGACACCAGGAGGCATGATGGAGATATTTTAAAGAAGAAATTATGAAAGAGAGACTGAGACATCAAGAGACTGAAGGGGGAGATCAGATGGCTCTTTCTGGGCCTCGATAATGGGAAGAAGCTGCTGGAGGGGGAAGATGGAGACAGCGTGAAGACGGCTTGCTCTATGCATAGGTTCTGGACCTATGGATTTAACCCACCATGGGTCAAAAGTGTTTTGAAAAAAGCATCTGCTTTGAACAGGCAAAGGTTTTCTCTTGTCATTACTTCCTTAAAAAACAGTGTAACACCTCTTTCCTTAGCATTTACATTGCATGGATATTGTCAATAAATAATATGGAGATGATTTAAAGATTTATAGGAGGACATGCAGAGCTATGCCAACCTCATGCCATTTCATGGGAGAGACATAAGAGGATGTGGCCATGCCTGGGGGCCTGGAACCAGACTCCAGGGGTAAGGGGCCACTGTGCTCCACAAACTTGCTGAGGGGCTCTGGAGTCAGCTGCAGGGTTTGGATCTTGCTCCTATGGTAACTGGCTCACACTGGTGAAGTGTGCAATATCTCTGAGCCTCAGAGTACTTATACATAAAACAGGGTTCTTGTAAAATCTACCTCATAAGATTGCTAGGAGGAAGCTCCAACGACAGTGCGGGGACATAGTAAATGGGAGCTGTGGTTAGGATTATGAGTGAGAGAGAGACAGGGAGAGAGACAGAGAGAGATGGTTTAACAGACAAGGGGAAAATGAGACAGGAAAAGAAGAGACAGAAACTGGGGGATGGGCTGGAGTGATGGGGGCAGAGTAGATTGAAAAGGTGGATGAGAGGCCTGAAAGAGGCAGCAGGAAGAGGCAAGGCTGAGCCTGGGAGGGGAGGAGGGAGCACAGGGATCCCTCTCCTGGGGCTAGTGGGGAGGCTGCCGTGGGAGGGGAAGGTGGGAACACAACAGTGCAGCACATTGCTTTGACTCAGCACCCACAAGCTGTGCCCAGCATGAGGCCTGGTGCACCACAGCGCTCAGAGGCCTTGTTGGCCAGCCTGGGAGCGGCAGCCCATCCTGCAGGAGTTGCCGTGGTTACCTGTGGAGCTGCTTCTGAAGCGTCTGCAGCTCACCATCCCGAGCTCTTAGCAGCTGCTCCTGGCGCTGGGCCTGCTCCTCCGCCTTCCGGAGCCCATGTCTGAGGGTCTGGAGATGGAAGGGGAGGGGGAAGCTTTTGGAGGAGGGCACAGGACCCAGAGCTGGGACTGACAGCTGAATACCCCTTCGAGTCCCCAGGCCGTGCCCCTGGGTGGAGGCAGGACTGGGACAGTGCAGGGAACTGGAGTGCCTGGTTCTGCCCCAGGCCCTGCTTGGGGTGATCCTGGGGCCACCATTCCCTGCTTCACTGAAGGGTGGAGGCTGGAAAGCTCCCTGAGCTGGAAGACTGGCCAGGGAGGAGGTGGAAGGAAGGGTTGGTAATAATCCTGGGTGACCTCTGGAACAATCATCTACCAGGTGACAAGGCGGGGTCACAGCAGTGAAACCTGGAGATTGGGAAGACACCTGCCATGATGAGGGTCACAGAAGAACATGTGACTACCCCGAAGAACTGTCAGGATGGGATCTCAGTCTCAAATGTGGCAGAGCTCGGCAGGAAGCACGGTGGATGAGTGGGTCTCACGGGAGACTTAGGGAGGAGGGGAGTTGTGGTGAGCTGAAGAGTGTACAGCTTTTAGGAGGCATCCCCAAATCCTCACCCTGGGCCAGGCAGTTGAGGTTGAGCTGTGGGCTGGAGTGGTCCTTAGGCTACCCCGGGCAGCCCCATCCGTGGGCCAGGCTAGGGATGGGAGAACAGACAGGTGCAGGCCACAGCTGCTCTCACCTTCACCATGTCCTGCAAGCACACTTCTGCTTGCTCCTCTTTCCTGGCAACACCAGTCACTTCTGTTTGTTCTTGTGGCTGTTCTGTGATGAAGACTTTCTTTTCCCCCAGGTCCTGGAGGACCCAGGACTCCCCCAGAATGGTAGACACCTCCTGCCCTTGCCTGTTCTCTGACGTGGCCTCCTCTATTGGTTCTCTGGGGCTGGAAGCCAGTGGCGCCTGGCCATGGTCCCGCTCTGCCTCTTTTCCAGGAGACCCCTCTGTTCCCTGACCCTTTGGACCTGGCAGAACCCCTCTGTTTTCAGCCTCTGTTTTAGGTTTTTCCTTCTGGGCCTCCTTTGCCCCTTCCTTCTGTTGCTGGATGCTGCCTGTTGAATTCTCCAAGAGTCTCTTAGTTCTCAGGGTTTTCTCTTCCTGGTCTAGCTGAAGCTCCTTTGGTTCCCTAAGGCTCTGAGGGGAACCAAGGCTCCTGGAATCTTCTCTGTTCTTTTCCTAGAAGGAGGAAGGATACACACATCGTGAGATCTGGAGAGTCCAGCCAGTCTGTCTTCTCTAGCCATGTCTCGCAGGCAGCTAGCTTGACTGATAGGTGGCTTCCCTGGCTGGACTCCTCCGGGGCCTCCAGACACTGCTAAGATCTGCAGAGATGTCAACTCAGCATGAATCCCTGACCCAGTGCACTGGGCCGATGCCAGCCCTGATCCAACAGGCTTGCTAAATATATGGATTTTCAGGCCCTCCCAGGATAAATATATGGAAATTTGAGTACATCAGACCAGAGATAATTTTTACAACACCTCAAGTGATCTGAGACCCCAGTTTTGATGAAGGAACAGCAGGGTGTCTCAATGTCCTTCTCCCTCCTACACCTGGTCCTGCTTTGATCTCGTGGCTCCTAGGTTCTCCCTGCCTTTCTCCTTTAATCCTCCTTCCGACTTGACTTTGCATTTTAGCTTTCTCATCTGCAAAATAAGACTAATACTTGCTTTGTAGAATTGTGATGAAAACTCAGACATCTTCTCTATGGAAACCTTCCCTGATTTCATGTTCCTTCACCCCAGTCTGTTGTGCTTTGATACCCAGGGTGACTGGCCAAGACTCACGTGGATACCAAAATCCGTGGATGT